CGGGGAGGGGCCGGCACCGCCGCGGCAAAAATGAGCCTGCTGTCGGCCATCGACACGAGCGCCGCCTCCGTGTACCAGCCGGCCCAGCTGCTCAACTGGGTCTACCTGTCGCTGCAGGACACGCACCAGGCTAGTGCCTTCGATGCCTTCCGGCCCGAGCCTCCCGCTGGCGCCGCGCCCCCGGAGCTGGCCTTCGGCAAGGGCCGCCCCGAGCAGCTGGGCTCGCCCCTGCACTCCAGCTATCTCAACAGCTTCTTCCAGCTGCAGCGCGGAGAGGTGGGTGCCCCCGCGCGCCCCCGCCCTGCGCCCCTCGGCTGTGCCAGACCCTTTCCCAACTGTCCTCGCATCTCCCCGGGCGGCCCGGCTGGGCTGGGCTTCCAACAACTCCGACAACCTTGTGGCCCCAGGTCCCTGGGGGCGTCGGGGGAAGAGTGTCACTACCTCCTGGGCTGAAGCAGCTCCGACCTGAGCAGGCCCCCCACCCCCATCACCCTCTTCTCCCAGCTGAGAGCCCAGGGTGTTCTCCGGATTTTTTCCAGACAGCTGGGGTGCGGCCAGGGCGGGGAACCCCTTCCAAGTGTCTTTTCCCTTGTCCAATCCTGTCTCCCTTCTGGCCACCGCTACTAGCTGGGATCTAAGAGCGCAGATCCTGCCCTGTCTGAACTCTGGGAGGGCCTACCATCTTTTCTCTTCAGACCTTCACGATTCCTCATCCGACAGCGCCCTGGAGGGGCAGTAACTTGGCTCAGTGTGCTTTTCTTGTGGCTTCCATTTGGGGACACCTCCCCCTACCCCCAAGATCCATCTTCCAGCTGCTCGTCCTTCCCCCCAGCCACATAGGAAGTGGTTTTTGAGGACTTGACCCCCCGCCGACTGCTGCTGTCCCCTGGCTCTCCCAGCCTGGAAGGAAATGAAAGGGAAATCCTTAGAGCTCTCTGGGGGTTGTGGGGGGCTAGATAGAGCGGAGGGTTGCAGCCACTGGCCACTTCTCCAGGAACCTCTGTGTGTCACAAAATCTGTCTGGTTGGTGGATCCAGTTACAAGTCTACTGGGCAGCGTCTTCTTCCCAGCAAGATAAACACACAGATTGCCATGACCTCCAACTCTTTTTGAGGGGTCTTCTGCAGGCCTTCTCAAGAGTTGGTTTCTCTCTCCTGCTGGATTCCTCCTCCTGCACCCCCACTCCAGCTTCATTTGGAATTGAAGACACCCTCTCTGGCTTTCACCAGCTTCCTTTGTCGCTGATCTCTGCCAAGGTGCAGAAGGGTGGGGGATGGGGAAGGGGGAGCAGGAGGGGGTCACTTTCCGTTTCCTTTGGAGCCCCAAATAGGGTGGGAGGCAGGTTTGTGTATGATTGGGTGTACATGCCAGGAAGGAGTGTGGATATAAGATCACTCTTTCTAGTTTCATATATACATGTTCAACTCTGCCTTTATTTACAATGTGTGGGGCGGGGGATCTGTAGACACATAAAACTGCCCTGTTGAGCAGTGGGGTGGAATTGGTATGGGGAGACTGGGCATGGTTGAGGGAGATGAGACGGAGAAGGTACCCCATAGTGCCAAACAGAAGCTTTTGTATGCCAAAGCTCTTATAAACTGTAAAGTTCCCCACTCTGCATATAAGAATGTTTCTTGGTTAGGGAGTTTTCCTTCTTGTAAGAGACTTTGGGGCCTTCTCAGGTGACCAGTGACTTTGGAGGACAGTTCTGTGGAGTGTTTCTTTAGTGCCTGGGTCTTTCCCTGTTGTTTATTCTCTTCCCAGACATTTGTTAAGCTGGAATGGGGGAGGTGGGGCTGGGCCTTCAAAGCCACAGGCTAGAGGAAGCCACAGATAAGTAGGCAGACAATCTGTGGGAATGGTGGCTGATTGGATGGGGTGGGAGGTGGGGGGTGAGTGCTGTCTTGGTAAGTGATTGATTGGATGGTGGATGGCTGCAAGAGGGTATGCCCTCAAGGGTGAACGCTCACTCAGGGAGGAGGTGACATGGCCCACTGATCAACTAGGGTCCCTAATCAGCCTCTGTTAGCCTCCCTCTCCTCCCACCCTAGGCTGGCCTTGTCCCTCACCTGTGGGTCTCTACTCCTGGGAGTTTGGGGCCATCAGGAGTCTCCCATGAGAATGGGATGCCCTGCCTGCTTTTGAATATCTCTGCCTTCTAGGATCCCAGCTGTGGCTCAGTGAGATCTTCCTCCTTTCACTTCAGTACTGCGTGCCTCAGTTTCTCCCTGAAAGGGCACACTGTGGAATAGGCAAGTAGATTTTGAGAACACTGTTGGAGATATGTCTCTCATCCTTTTTTTTTCTTTTTTCTTTTATTGATGCCAGTACTAGGGCTTGAACTCAGGGCCTTAGCTTGTCCATTCAAGTCTGTATTCTCCCACTTAAGCACAGCACTACTTCTGGCTTTTTTGCTGGTTGATTAGAGATAAGCATCTCATGGACTTGTCCTGCCTAGGCTGGCTTCAAACCATGATCCTCAGATCTCAGCCTCCTGAGCAGCTAGGATTACAAGCATGAGCCACTGGTACCCAGCTGTCTCATGATCCTGTCTCTCTCTGGGCCTTGGCTTACCCCTCTGGTAGATTTTGTCTCTGCTTGTCCTCAGGGTGGTGTGTCTCACAATGAAGACCTGCACCATTCAGAGAACATGGGCCTGCGGACAGCCTGAGCCCAAGGAGCGTCCAGGGGCTTCTTATGGTCCCAGGTCAGCAGCTTCCTTGGAGGGCTGGGGGGCTCTGGCTGCTGACTTCCAGGAGGTTGTCTTAACTTCAGTCTTCCTTGTCCACACCCCCACCCCCTTGGCCTCGTAAACCCTCTCCCGAGCCCCACTTGTGCGTTTGGGGACAGGCCTTTCCTACGTCCAGGCTTAGCTGGTAACCTAATATGGTTCCATGATAGCAACTGCTTGGGAAGATGGGAAGAGATGCCCCCCACTTCTGAGCCTCCAGGAGGCTGGATGTGGGGGCAGCACGTTCGTTGTGGCTGGTGGAGACTCTTCAAAGGGACCCAAAGCCCAGGAGCATTGCCATTCTGTGTGAGGCCTGGCAGGCCCAGTGGCAGTGCCTGTGGATGTGACTGGCATGCTGACCGCTGACCACAGCCTGTCTGTGCCAGCCCCTGTGCCAAGAGCCCACCCCCTCCCGCACCGCCCCCAGGCTGCTCCCTCCACAACAGAAAAACACCATGAATGCAGCTGGCACTGGGGGAGGTGAGGACACTGGGGGCACAGAAGCCCATTGTGCCCCTAGAACCTCAGCCCTGCAAGCTGAAGATAAGCCAAGGGTTCTGAGTGGCACTCTGGCCCTGGGAGCAGAGAGGGAAATGGGAGAGTTCACAGGCAAATTCAGGAGAGAAAACCAGGAATCACCCTAAAGCGGCCCCCGGTACCTTGTGCAGTTTCTTAAAAGACTTCTGGGTCCAGAGAGGAGGCCTATGTGAACCTCACATTCAGAAACTCATCTGAGACTACTCTGCCTGCCTTTGGAGAGAGACTGCTGGGTGGGGAGGAGGGGGCGGGGCTGGAAAATAGAGGGGGGGGGGAGTTAGCTAAGCCCCTCCTCTCTCCCACCAGGTGCTCAGGAGAGGCAGTTGCTGCATAGGATCTTTCTTGCCAAGTTCTGTTTGGAATTTAAATTCCCAGCAGCAGTGGCTGTGGATTCTACCTCTGGAAAAGTAGAGTTAAGCATTACCTCTTGGGCCCCTTGCCAAAGAGCCTGTCCTCAAACACTGTACCCAGCCGGCTTTAGGGTGGTTGATGGGGGTAGCTGGAAAGTATGGCCCTACTGTCAAGTGGCAGGGAAGAGCTTTGGCAATCAAATACATTTGGAAAGCATCATGCTCTGTCCTTCCCATGGACACTCAGTGCTCACTAGCTCAGTAAAGGCTCTGAGAAGTCCTACAATACAAAACAGGGCAATGATTCTTCCAGCCAAACATTTCTTCCAACGTCTCCAAGCCCAGAGACGTTCCACTGAGCCAAGCCAGACCTCTCCACCACTGTGAAGCTCCAAATTTTAGCAAGTGCTCCCTTGAGAAGCAAACTTGAGTATCAACTCTGGGTCCTAGCACTCAATCTTCAACATCACAGACCCTTCCTCTTTGCTGTAGCCCTTCACCCATTGGATATTTGAGAATGGCAGCAAGTGTCACAAGATTTGACAGATGCTGGGTTTCTCAAGGCCTTCAACACAAACCTGGTCTTATTTATTTAGTGTGGATATTGGGGCTTGAACTCAAGGCTTCACTGTCCATTAGGTTTTTTGCTCAAGGCTAGTGCTTTACCAAGTAAGCCACAGCTCCCTTTCTAGCCTGTTAATTGGAGGTAAAAGTCTCACCCATATTCCTGTCTGGTCTGGTTTTTGATTTGTGATTCTCAGATCTCAGCCTCCTGAGTAGCTAGCATTATAGGTGTGAACCACTAGAGCCTGGCCAGACCTGGTTCCTAGAACAGTTAAGGGAACAGCTTATAATGTCATACTCACCGAAGTCCAAGCAAGACAATTTTCTAGGAGTTTGGGTTTTGGATTTTCTGGGAGTTTGGACTTTTCTCCTGTGCCCATCGCTGGTTTAGATGAGTCAGTGGGTAGCCGGTGTGAATGTGTGGGATAAAGCCACATTTCTGCCTGAAGCTGAGAGGCAGGGAGGGCTGCCTGGTGGGGGTGGAATGGCCTAGAGGAAGCTGATATTGGTTCCCCATAGCCTTTGGTCTGTGTGAGATGGGAGGTGGGGGAGGTCCCTGGGTCTGGAAGGAATGGCCAGGCTAGCTCTGCTCAGGAAGATGTTCTAACTCCCGGGGAAGCCAAATGGTGACTCAGGCCCATCACTTGATGAGAGACTGTTAGAAGAGGCAGGCTGACCCTTCCTCTGTCAAGTTAAGTGGAGTGGGTGAGTATTGGCTCAGAAAGGAGACCACACCTTGGGCCCCTTCTGAGTCAGGCAAAGGGGAAGCAGGCGTTAGCAATCGGTGATCAGTAGCACAGAGCTGGCACCATCAGCATTGAGGGCTGAGCCTGCGGGGATGGTGGCCGGTAGAGAACAGTCCCATGCTCCTAGGAGAGGCTTTATTCTTGGATTTTTTTCCCTCTTTCCTTCTGGGAAAGCTCCCATTGTACAGAAGGCAAAACAGAGGCCTGGAAAGTCACAGGAAGTCAGTGGCGGGGCTAGAGCTAAATCTTTCCTGCATTCTAGCCAGGAGTTGTCTCTGTAGTCCATCCTGCAGCTGAGCAGGTCCCCAGGTTAGCCCATACCTGGATTGTTCTCTGTGCCACTGTCCA